TGCTGTTTCTGCTAGATGTTGGCAGCTGGATTCGTAGCTGCCTTCGAATTGTTACGACGGCAACGTGATCGCTGGTAGAGCAAACTTGCTTGCTGTGGTAGCTATTAAGTTCCCGACAACCTATGCTTTGCTGGGAATGCAACCTCATTTCTCTCCGTGCACGTAGTCAATATAATTGTGTACCAACAGCTTTGTAATCCAAACGCTCTGCAAGCTCAGTTTGTAAAAATTTAACATCGCAAAAGTGCTTGACATGAGTAAAGTTTGGACTAAAACGTTACTAGTATGGCTTCGGGAAAAACTGGGGGTAGCCCGCGAGAATTCGGGAAGGTACCGGGAGCTAGCCACCCCGCTCTTTCCTGGTCTTCCTGGTAGTGCGCTTGTCAGGTCCGAGCATTGAGCGCTGATGATGGCGGTGATGGGTGCCTGGGGTTTTCCCCGGTTTTCCCCTTGTTTCCCGGAAGTATCGACCCTCCGCCCAGCTGTCCTTTCAGGGCCGTCAGGGTGCCGAATTCGTCAAAGGGGCCCCGACTTTTCGCATGCAGAATATTCTGTGTACTTGGTCAAGTACACACCAAGACTCCTGCGAAAATGTATGGAGCTTTTAGTGTGTACTTGACCAAGTACACAGAATATTCTGCATACATGTATAGGTATGCAGAATATTCTGCATCCAAGTACACACTTGGGTTTCCAGAGCAACTATAAAATCATAGGGATTGCAGCAAAATATTATATCTCAGTGATTTATCCGAAGGGCAGTGGTCGTGTATTTTAAGTTATACGAATTGCAGATCCCTCGAGCTTTATGATTTTTAAAACTAGTTTTTTTCGTTTATAGGTTAAACAATGTTATTCCAGATTTACAAACAAAGAAATTAACTTAAAATCTTCCCTTTTTCGAGAAAGTTGTTTCAAGCGCAGCAGTGTAGTAATTTTGCAATAAACATCTTTTTTTTTTACACATTTGTGTTGAAAAATTGTATTGCACTGCACACTTCCAAATGGTTGTTCTTACCGCACCCCTCTTCCGTAGGGACGTCCGCTTCCGCGCCGCTGGCGGCGGGTATCTGCGCGCTGGCCCTGGAGGCCAACCCTTCACTCACCTGGAGGGACATGCAGCACCTGGTGGTGCGCGCCTCGCGTCCGGCACCCCTCGAGCGTGAAGACGGCTGGGTGCTCAACGGCGCCAAGAGAAAAGGTGAGTCACCTTAAGAAGAAGACGCCAAGAGTGCGACACGATAAGGGTTTTTCTTGTTAGTCTTATTGTGCACAAGGTTGTACATTTGGTGCACCTGAAGCTGCGAAAAGTGCCTGTTTATTCAACTGCAGAAAATCGTAAATGTCGTGCGGTTCGAAAAAAAAACGCACACAAAAAGAAACGCGTGTCTTTCTCGTGTTTTCGATAACACAGCAAATGCCTCAGGCTTGTTTCGCAGAGCTGGCCCGCTTTGGGGTAATAGGTCTACCCCGGACAGACAAGACGTCCTTGCCTGCCTCCCCTCACCCTTGGACCGCGGTGGCCCTGGCCCCGGATGGACCGGACAACCCGGGCATTACTTTGCCAATCTGTCACATCATGTTTCAATAGGAAGCAGGGGACAAAAGACACCACCCCTCCGCAGCCCCAGCCTGGCTCTGGTCGTCCTTTTCAGCCGCACGCAGTCCAGCCGAGGCCTTGCCGGCGGGCTACACGCTCGCGTGGCCACGTAAAATACCTCGGAGACGGCAACTTTTCGAAAAAGAACTTTGAATTCGAAGTATTTAAATTCAACCACACTCGTCTGTTGGAGTACGCTCGGGGAGCAGGCGCCCGACCACGGGCGGGTAGGCGAACCCGCTCGGCAGGCGCGCGCTGCGGGCTAGTATCGCCGGCGAGCCGGGCGCCTGGCCGCCTGGCCTGGCGGCTCACCCGGGAGCTGGCGGTCAGCGATAGTCGCGGCGTCGTGGTCGGGGGTGGGTGCCGGCTGCAGGTGTGGAGACAAATGACGGGCAGTGCGTTGCTCGTCTCGCCCGGGTGGCGGCTCGGCCATACGGCCGCCGGTGGGATCCGGCCAAGCCTCCGGGGCGAAGCATTGTGGTTTTGTGGCAGAGCGGCGCGGGGGAGCTGTAGGTCGGCGGGCAGGAGGGCGAGCAGAGGATCGCAGCTTAACTCAGCGTGCTCGGAGCGGCCGCGCCCCGCCCCGCCACCACACCCACAG